TATTATTATTATTATTATTATTATTATTATTATTATTATTATTATTATTATCCTCCTATTTTAGTTATAATCGAGGAATAAAAGCCGGGAATTGTGGGACCATGAAATGTAGGACCCAGTTATCCTTACCAATGGAATTGTGGATTAGTCGTAAGACATCCATAATTATCCTGTTTGATCCGTAATCCAGAAAGAAAGCCCGGAAATAGAAAAGCCAAAATGACTATAAGTAGCTTTCTCATTGGTGAGAGTAATGATTCGGCGGTGGGCGACAGTCTCCGACACGAGTCGAGTCGAGTCGAGTCGTTGACGAGTTAAGGATTTATTCGTCGAGATTAGTAAACCAATTTGAGATTTCATTGCTTTTATAAATAAGCTAAGTTCGAGCATGATTACCAAATAAATCAATCTAACGAATACCGAAAGGTGATTTCTTGGAAAAGGCTTTACTTTTTTTTATTTGTCTAATTTCAAGTATATAGAAATACTATATAACTGATATAGAAATCAAATTATTTGAATTTTTATTTTCTTAAATTGAGAACCATATATTTGAGTACTCCCCTAATATATTTTGAGTCTGAACATTGCTCATGTTCCTAAATATATTAAGAAATGAACTCAAAACATATTAAGAAAATATTTATAAACCTTGTTCCATTTCAAATAAGTATGGTTCTTTCTTTTAAAACAATAAATATTAAAATAATTTGACTTTTACATGAGTTAGAGTGTTGTTATGAACCTATACAAAAAAAAATATATTTTATATTTTTAAAAACACTAAAACCTCAATATTTTTTATGGAGTTAAAAGTGTTTTGAATAATATAAAAAAAATCCCTCGATAGAAAAAGAAAGAGAAAGAGAAAGAAATGAAATAAATGACTAACTATCAAGTCAAGTCAAGAGTATATTAAGAATTAGACAAAGACAAAAAAAAAAAAATACTGTTAGGAAAATCTGAAAAAGGGGGCATCTTTCAGGAAAAGCCTAAAAAGAAAGGCTTTCTTTTTATTATGAAAAATCATCCCGGAAAATAATTAGAAAACATAAATAATCGAAAGCATTGTAGCTAACCTTACACGGCTCTTCCTCAAAACATTCAGTGGGATGCTCCTCGATTTGGGAATATAATGGTTTGCACCGTTCTGCTGATGGCAATTCCACTCTTCCAGCTGCCAAATGCATCCTAGTACTAATGTACCATATATCAGCCAGTTAAAAGGAAGAGTAAAGCTTTTCTTGCACTTTCTGCATCTGGAACAGCTACAAGTGCATAATTTTAGGGGAAAATTCTGTAACCATCAGCATTTATTTAGAAGAACCTGAATTTTTTTTTAATCGATGACAAGGTCTTCTTCACAACAAAAAAAGAATCAATGCTGGTGTTCTAGTGACAGGGATGCTCACTGCAAGTCTTCCAATAGATGTTGCATCACTCGTCTTGTTGCTTATGAGCTTCCCCTAGTAATTTTGGGGTCTATCAAGAACATATTCTGAGTTACTTTGGTTGCTTAATTTCCGTGTTCCTAAAGCACTTCTGTCAGTGAGTAAGCATTGATCATAGGGAAGAAGTTTGGGAACGGTTGAGTGTCATCAGAAGTTAGAATCCGAACCCTCCTGGGAATCCACCACCTGGAAATCCACCATCAAAGTGAAAAGTGAATTGTTGTCCGCCGCCAAAAGGGTTAAAGCCTCCACCTCCCATCCCCGTACCCTCATCAAGATCCTCGCCTCTGTCATATCTTACACGTTTCTCTTCATCACCAAGCACCTTTATTTAAGAAGAAAAGATGATTACACGATCAGATAGTAGTGTGAATCGACCATATGAAAAAAATATAACCATTCCTCATAACTGTTTGAGGATTTCTGCCTTGCCTCAATCACAAATCCAGGTGTGCTATTTGATCAATTTATCATGATAACAACTCAGAGAAAAATGCAAAGAATTGAGAAGCAAAATAAATACATTATTTATTTATGAGAACATACTATATAGCAATCTTGAAACATGGAACATGTATTATCTACTTTAACAAAGACGAGAGGTTGATTCACTTAAGAGTAGTTATTGTTGTCGGTGGTAGATGCCACAGTTCATACAATTTAACCAAGTAGCTGCAATGTATTGGTAAACAAAACAGCACACTGTTTCTAAGCATAACAAGCAATTCGGCCATAGATATAATTATTGTAAATATGTAGCGAGCTTCAACATGGTATGAAAATTATAGTAAAATGACAGTTAGATTATTGTTGCAATATTTTTAAATATCTAAAATATGATTCACCTAATCAATCCGTACTGATGTATCAATCAGCCATCGGTATGATATATATTAATGTACCAACATATAGTACGATGAGACATACTGAGAAACTAGTATGTACTGTCCATACCGATCCCCTATCGGACCGATATGTACCACTCATCAAACGGTATGTTACGGTACAATAAACCTTGATCTAAAATAATTTTGACAATATTGGTTTCTTGGTAATAAGAAAGAAAATAGCCAATTTTCGTGCATAACACCAACAAGGTGTTAATTACTCTCAACTACTTGGAGAGTTGATTGATCCCCTAGTTCTCCATCGATACCCATGGGCAATTCATCAAGTCATTTTAACTCTCTTAAATGATCTCTAGTTCTGTTATCAAAATAATGAAATTAAGGAAGCAAGATAGGTTCAGGAAACAATTTGCAAAATGACACTGCAGCTCGAACTAGCATATACAATAATAATTACTGCTATATGATTGAACAATATGTTGATCGACGCTTTGTGCAAAGCAACGAAAGGCAAGAATGACTGTTCTGCACATGACTTCAATGACAGAAACTATAATACTGAAAAAAGCAAGTAATTGTTAAATGCTGGCTAGAAAGACTTAGTTTCAACTTAAATTACAACAAAAATGAAGCTAGCATTTTTTTCTTTCAAATGTAAAAACTACAGTATCATATAACTATCCAATTCATAGACAACAACAAAAAAAATCACATTCTAAAAAATGATAACAAGAAACCATTATTTTAAGCTAGGAAAACTTCAAATAGAATGCTAGGTTAAAAGGAAAATTTACATCTAAGCCTGTATTACCTCATAGGCAGCAGCAATTTCCTGAAACTTGGCCTCAGCTTCCTCACGGTTATCAACATTCTTATCTGGATGCCACTGTAAAGCAAGCTTCTTGTATGCACGCTTTATCTCTGCAACAGAAGCAGTTTTTGAAACACCAAGGATCTTGTACCAGTCCTTGCGTTTGCTTAATTTCAATGATTTTTCAGCCCTCATCAGTGCTTCTCGAATATTCATGTCCTAAAAATAGAATTACAGTAAGATTTATATCCATCTGACATTTTTTTCAATTAATTTGATAAAATGCATAATATAGCATGTCAACAAAGTAAGTAATATTGAATTCAATCAAAAACATGAGAATGGAACTATTATGATCCTATTCATGAAATATTCCAACAATGAAACAATTCTTTGTTTGGTTTACGATAATCTTTGCAGAATGGTTAACGTTATGCTGCCAGCAGCTCTTCAGGATTAGCAAAAGTGATCACCCAAAATGGCATCAACATTCTATGATGTTCCAATGACACACTTCTGTTCCACAAGCCTATGTAAAAAGATCAACAATCTGGAATTCATGCTGACCACTTTGGATGATTTCAGGCTTCAAAATCAGATATAACAAAAGCAGTTCTTTTCCAACTGGGATGAATGGACCTAATCAAGAGCTGAGAGATATCTTCGGCAGCAACTCAGAAACACTTACAAATAAATTCTGGGAACTTGTGTAAACATAAAAACTATAATATGCTACTGTTACGCAGAAGAACTTTAATATCAGGATTGAAATCAAATAACAATATATCATATTTATGATGTGCACTATTTGATGCCATCCAGAAAAACCTTTATTTGATCTGCAAGGACACCGTCTTCGGATCCGAAAACCACAATGATATCGATCTACAAGGAGAACTAAACTCACTTTCTATCTCTTCCTATTCTTTCACAGGACTACTATAATCGATGGATTAGGGACAAGGGAGGATGAGAAAGGAATTGTAATCTCTCAATAACTATCACGTATCCATGTCTCATGGTCTTGTGTCTGTAGTATTTAGTTCCCAGGAGGTCCTGTCTATATATAGACGAGAGCAGAGGGTCTAAAATAAGTGATTATAAGAGTTCCTCTCATCAAGATCATCTCCTAAGATATCCTACCATAAGTGAACTTCCTTTCTATTAGCTGATAACTGTCATCAGATCAGATCTATAATATATTTTATCTAATTAGATAGAGCCACATAATCTAACATTCTCCCACTTGGCCCAATAATTTGTAAGATATAAAAGAAATTCAAAATCAAAATAAACAAAACAAAATTTGTTTAAAAAAAATTTACCTAATTGGATTCTAAAAAATTTTGAAAAACATTTTATACATGGCCATAAATTTTAAGACAAGCCAATAAATCCAATAAGCATAATAATACTACATTAAGTCAAACTATCAATGCGAGTTATAGCAATTATATGTCATCAATGTTACACTCCCTTCTATATACCACAACACTGTTAATCTTTTCTAATATAGTTCATAATGATCCATATAATTTGTCTTGTCAAGACAAACTTATTATTACATTCAACTATAATATGCATAAACATAAATGTAAACAGAATAGCAGAAATAAATAACTTTAATTAAGCAAGAAAAAATGTCAATAATAACATCCACCTGAACACGAGTCATTATATCTTTTATGGTTTGCTTACAAGCCTCATTTTAAAAATATGTTATTTAAATATTTTATACTATAAAGCCTTAGTAAATGGATCAACAATCATCAAGGTGGTGCTTAGGTTCTTAATTGACACTTATTGTTTTTGGACTCTTTCTCTAACCACCAAGTATTTTATCTTGATATGCTTGGAACCACTAGAGTAATTGTCATTCTTAAAGAAGAAAATTGTTGTGGTGTTATCACAAAATATTTTCAGCGGCCTAGCAATTAAGTTGACCACACCAAGTCCTGAGATGAAATTTTACAGTCATAAAATTTGATTTGTGCCCTCAAAACATGTCATAAATTCAGCTTTCACGGTTGATGATGCAATAAGCAATTACTTTAACTTTCCTAAGATTTAATAAAAAATACATCCAATCAAATAATCAAAATATAGTCATGATTAGATTCAATAACAATTAAAAAATAAATCATAGATATAAAGAAAAAATTCTTAATTTCTTAGGGGAAAGACTATAATTTTGTTGATAGGATATAAAGCAAAATTAGAACTTATAAAGGGCAAAACTATCAAAAAGATTAAAATAAAATTAATGAGATATATAAGGGTAAAACTGTAGTTTTATAAAAGAACCCCTACCGCCACCTGGTAACCGTCGCCTGTGTGGCTGTCACCTACGCGACCAACCTAGTGCACGGCCCGCGGTCGTCGCTTGCGTGGCCGTCGCGATGCACGGCCAACGAGGCAGATGACTTGCCGCTTGCGTGGCCATCACGATGTGTGGCTATTGCTATACATAGCCACTTGCTGCTACCACCTGTGTGGCCGCCACAATGTGCAACCATCATTGTGCGCAGCCGCCTACTACTGCTGTGGTGCATACGCTACCCGACACAGTCGCCCATGGCCAACAAATCCACCATAGTGGCCACACGCAACGATGCTATTGCAGTCGCTGCACAGCCACTATCGCTGCCACAAGACTATCGATCATTGAAGATCGCAGTCCTCAATAATACTATCGTCGACAACAAGATATCGACGATAATACATTGATCTAATACAAGGAACCTTAAGTCGCCTATAAGCAAGCGACAAGACAGAATAGATAGGAAGTTAGATCGATAATATACACGGATCATTTAAGCATCATAAATCAAAGTTAACAAATCTAAGGTATTTGATTTCAAGAAACTCGACTCTGCTATCAATTGTAAACATAAAAACTATAATATGCTACTGTTATATGCATGGTTTGCAGTACCGGTCCGACAGGCTTCCGGTACTGTAGCAGTACTGTAGCACCATTATACCGTACCATACCAGTACCGAGCCCAGGTCGAAACTCTGGTACGGTACGGTATTGCGAACCTTGGTTATGTGGAACTTTAATGCCAAGATTGAAATTAAATAACAATATATCAGATTTACGATGCGTACCTTTCGATGTCATCTAGAAAAACCTTTATTTGATCTACAAGGGCACCATTCTCGGATTCAAAAACTACAGTGTTGTCGATCTATAAGGAGAACTAGACTCACCTTCTCCTCTTTTCCTATCCTTTCACAGAACCACTATGATTGATGGATTAAAGACAAGGGAGGCTGAGAGAGAAATCATAATCTCTCAATGATTATCATGTATCCACGTCTCATGGTCTCATGTCTCTATCTCGTATCCATAATATTTAGACCCTAAAAAGTCTTATATATATATATATATGAACGAAAGTAGAGGGTATAGCATAAGTAATTAAGAGAGTTCCTCTCCTCAAGGTCATCTCCTAAGGAATCCTACTATAATTGGACTTCCTTTCTATTGACTAATAACCGTCAACAGAATCCAATCAGAACTATAATATATCTTATCAAATTAGATAGGACCACATAATCTAAAAACTTGCACTAAGATTAGGAACCATAAATACTGTTTGGATTCCGAAAGTAAATAAGGCAGAAAGAAGGCTTGATCAATGGAAATCTAAGCTGTTATCATACAGCGGAAGATAGTTACATAAGTCCCATTGACTATATGAATATATTCAAATTACCTAGTTGGACAGTCAAAGGTAATGACAGAGCTACAAGACAGTTCCTTCAAGGAAAAAACACAATGAGGCAAGTGTCAGTAGCTGTAAACTAGGATCAAGTGTGCAAGAAAAGAGAGATGGAAACTTAAGTATCAATTAAAACACAAATCACAAAGGAATGCATTAACTGAGACACTGCATCCTCTGCAGCATTGAAACAGAAGACATTCCACACATTAATCACTTGCCCCCATCAAGCATTTCTGGTGGGGAAAGCTCAAATAATTTTGGAATGCGACAGATTACCCTTGCAACTTGACTCAGTTAATTGGTGAATGGACAAGGATAAGAGTGAATAAGAATGTAAGAGTGACAAAATACTTGCCACCATCATGCATTTCAGGCGGGGAAAGCTCAAATAATTTTGGAATGCGACAGATTACCCATGCAACTTGACTCAGTTAATTGGTGAATGGACAAGGATAAGAGTGAATAAGAATGTAAGAGTGACAAAATACTTGGAAGGAATGAAATAGATAATTCTTCAGGAACAAAGGGAGAAAGAACAATGCTTGAGGCTGAGCTAGACAGTCCAGCTTTTCTACCAAACACAAAAAAGCTCCAATACAATAAGCTCGATGATGCACTGAAGGTCTAGTAGTCCTAGTAATCATCTTACTTGCTAAACATGTCCTTTCCAATAAATATTTTACTTCAGTCTCCAAATTTTATAACATATACAACCATACTGGATAGTGTATACAGGTAACTATGCATGTGCACTCTGCATTTCTAATTACATATGCAACACCATTATAATTTTTGTACAGTATTTACTATGAAAGAAATACACAGAAAGAAATGGATTAGGTAGAAATCATCTTTGCAATAATGATTTTTCTTTTACACAACCAAATGCATCAAATGTAAGTTACTATAATTGACTAAACAATTCTATATAAGACAATTTAATTTAAAGAAGCTATTGAAATCCAAAGTCGTGTATGTTATGCTCTTAAAGAAAAGAAACCATCTATACTTCCTACTCAAGTGTCTGCAAGCAGACAAAACCAACTGCTCCCTTAATTGGTTTCAAAAGAGATGGCTATGCATGAATATAAGCTTGCAAGGAATGCAGAAAGCAGCATCCAAAACAATTTATTTATTTCCATAATGCACACGTGCAAAGATTCAGAACATGCACCAAACCTGTGGAGACTTTTGAGCAGCTATTTTCAAGTCCTCCACTGCTCCATCCCAATCTTCTGTTAGAAGTTTAGCTTCACCTCGCTGCAAAGAAGAAGCTAGGTCTCTTAAACAATGGCCACCAACTCTGAGCAAAAAAGACTACTTGTGCAAGAAGTACTACTGCAATATATTATAGGAACTTCTGGGACACAAAAAATTGTGGTTATTGTTTATCAAAATAATCATATAAAAAATCATATCATAGAAAGAAATAAAATCTGAAAAATACAGCAATTAGCAGTTGTGAGATGCAATAGTAGGAGAAATCATCACTTAGTCAAAGAAGGCAATTTGAACATGTAAATAACTTGGCAACTTAATTACTGCATAGGCCACATTGATCTGAGGTCCAATACATTAGGAAAATCCAGGCTACAGAATTATTTAATCACTTTAATAATAAACATTTCAATCTAACAATATTCCACAGTAAGATCACCATCAAGTAAAATTTAAACAAATGTCTTTCACAAACAAAGATATCTGGGAAATGCAGAAATAAGAAAGGATCTTAGATGAATGGCCTTCAGGTGTCCACACCAATTTTCATCCACAAAAAAGGTTGATAAGTTAAGAAGTAACCCTTGTCACTAAGGCATGCTGATACTTGAACAGACACATACCATATGTACATAGCTTGCCTGAGTGGGCTACTACCTACTCATTCTCTGTAACACTACCTTTTTTTTCACTTGACCTATTTATCCATCCAATAAAACCTTCAAACTGTTATGTGCACTTGATCCACATGCCAATGACTCAGGAAGCAAGACTTTCATTTTCATGGCATGCTCTCACGGCAGTAATTTGCATTGTAGGGGCAAGAGAGGTACCAATTGGCACAGGCACCATACAGCCTATAGCTACATTGTAACATCCAACAGAATTGTGGTGCACCAGGGTCATGCCACAATGGTACCTGCCAGTCAGCATGAATAAACATGGCATGTGGAATTCCTGTTGAATAGTACTCCACATGGATGTGATCTTTGCACTCCTAACATATTACCAGAATTCAGAACCTCTGATCCTATTCAAAATTATGTCACTGATGAACATAGTTCTACTTTTGGTCAAACCTTAACCTATATATCTCTAAAATATTAGGGGACTAGAGAGGGTAGCAAGAAATGATCGTGGATGTACTTTAGCTGCAGGCAGCATACAATAATATTAAATGAATTTTCAGAACAAATATTTTGATATATTGGATTCACAAATTCAATGGCTTGGAAAGTGTTTTAATTTCATTAAAAATGCATCTAAGTACACTGTTTTCAGGGTGTTCAAAAATTGTTTGTAAAAATTATGAAACTACAATTGCTCCAGACATGTTCAGATTATAGTTTCTACTTTCTAACAAGATTACAAGTAAACTGAGTAAGTAATACATCCAACAGAGTTTGAAAAACAAGATGTCAAAACAGAAACATGAACAAGCATTATTCCATAGGCACTCTGGTAGAGCTTCCAGCACTTATGTTGAAGTATCATGTCTATATGTTCACTCTGCACCCCTTAGTGCCGGTCAAATGATAAAAATAGAATGAGGACTGATAGAACTTGAGAATATAGCCACTCAAAAGGTCATAACAAACCTGGACCAAGGCCTCAACAAGCTCTTCATCAATGTTGAGCACTTCTGTGCAACTATCAATAGCATCTTTTCCTCTCCCAAGTTTAACCAAAACCTTGCACAATCCAAGGTGAAGGTGCACGTTATGTGCTGTGTGATTGGGGTCCAATGCAAGGGCAGCCTTGAAGTCCTCAACAGCCACACGTAACTTTCCCTTAGCAGCATTGTCTTCTGCCTGAAAGAATCTCAGTAATGTAATGAATATTCTAATAGTTAATGATATTAGAATTTACATAACGCTTCTAAATTATCGTCCTTTTCTTACACTTTTTGTCTTCTTTAGCAGATTTTTTAATCCAAAATATGCTTTCTTCAGATCACTATGCTCTGGGTCTAGACGCAGCCCTTTCTGATAGTGCCTGGTAATCATAAAAGAAATTTTAGAAGCAACATTAAGATCCCTAAGTGGAAGTTCCAATAAAAATTCAGAAAAGCAAACCTCAATGCAACATCATGATCGGAGAGATAATAATATGCCCGACCACGTACTAGGAGTGCCTCCAAGTTATCTTCATCTTCTTTTAGTATAAACCCACTTTCTGAAATTACACTAGAGTAATCTTTCAGAGCCAACAGTAGTTTCACCTTGAGAATTTTTGCCTGCAAATACAAACTTACGCAGCGTAAGACTGCAGCAAATAGATAAATATCTTGTCTAGTATGCATAACTGAACATAATATATTCCAAAAAGTACCTCCAAGCAGCCTGACGAATAGACAAGGACAATTTTATTAATGTAGTCCAGTGCTTTTGAATGGTCACCGGAGTCAAAATGACTATATGCAGAATTCAGTGCATCTTGGGCCTGCAATGACTTAGAAAGATCCTTCTCAACTGAAGAAGTTCCAGGCTTTAGCTCCAGGAATTTTTTGTAGTCCTTCCCAGAGTCCTCAAACCTGCATTTGTCAATGTTTTCCTTATTTCTGTCATAAAAGCTATATCACCCACAAAAGTCAGAATTCCTGTGTCATTGTGTAGCTATTACTTTTGACCAAACTGTGGTATGTGGTTACCATCCACTATGTTTATTGATTTTAAGGAACTCTTTTGTTTTTGAATTTATAATATCTAGAAAACTCTCGTGGGTTAGTTATGTATGACTCATCAAGGTCAGCTCTGGCTTTTGTATAATCATTATAAGACACCAATTTAGGGATGCAAAATTATTTTACGTCTAACATGCAATATAGGGAATTCATCAGCAGCAAGACCTTATCATCCCAATCCTCCTCTTTCTTCCCCTTCAGTTGCTTCGTTTTTTCATGTAGGTTTTGACTATTTAGATTTCATTATTCTCCGAAAGATACCTTCATGTGAGATCCACAAAAGGCCATCTTACCCAATACACTACATATGCTTTTTCTGCCCGACACGCTATGTTCAATTCTCTGGAGGCAAATATATAGTTGCAATAAGTTCAGCATCATATTGTCAAAAATCTAAAGAACAGTAAATGGCTGCTCAAACAACTTAAAAGCTACAAGCCTCTTCTTAGACAGAAATGCTAACACTTATTATTTTCCAAGCTCAAGTCACCATATTTTCTTATACTTTGTCATATATTCAACCAAACAAAATGAAGAATGAAGATACAAACTTCAGATTCTCGATGAAACAAATCGGTGCCTGTTAAATGGGTTACTAAGATGCTTTGTGAGTAATCACCGCATCAAAAAGTTAAGCATACTAGAACATTTAATTTGATCACAATAGAAGAGAAGATGAAAGAAAATACAGCACATATCTGCTGAAAGTTATTTGTCACTTTCTTGCATCACTCCATTATTTAAGACCTTTAACAACAATGATTCTAGATCCAACATTGCAAAGAAGAATTATCAAACAAGGTACAACTTTGGTGGCGATAATGATACAAATTATGATCCCCTCAGATAATTCCATTCTATATATCACCTCTAAGACTTATTCCAGGAATAAGAACCATATACCTTCAAGGCTTCAACAATCTTCTCGCTTTGTCTTAAAAATGTTAAGCAGATATATACACAATATTCCATTCTAGATACTATATCTTATTGTTTGTTTTCCAATTCACAAGTTATTCTAAACACTTCAGTACAAATGGTAAGACCCATACTAAAAGCATCAAAAAAGCTTTTTCTGTTGCATCATCAGTTCATGACTTGTTGCACTGCCAGACAAACAAACAAAATGAATTGATACAAGGTCAGCAAACAACAAAATATTAAATAAACATACCTACATAGGTGAAGAAAAGCAGTAGCACGCTGCTGGTAGGCCTCTGATAGATTTGGATCTGCTTCTATAGCAGCATTTAAAAGTCCAACTGCATCGTGGTGTCGCTTCACTTTTATCATTTCAGAGGCTCTTTTCAATAAGTCTAGAGCATCACCTGTTTGGCTGTCTTCATATATGCTAAAGCAGGATCAGAAAACTACAAAGTCTGGGATTATATAAATTTTGTATATAACTTAATAATTGTATTAAAACAATAGAAATAACCACCAGAAAACACTCTTTGAAAGAAGGTACAAACAAGAGTCATTTTAAGTTTACATTAGATAGAGCAATAGAATTGTAAGTGTAATTTTAGCATTAGAAAATATAATAACCTATTCAATTACTGGAATGAGATGTAATCATTAGTTAAAACTTGGCATCAAAGCCCTTTTGCAGGTCTATGCAATCAAAGTAAAGCATGAAACCAATCGGTAAACCTGTCTGTGGTTGTCTATGTTCTATCTAGAATCTACAAATGGCAATTTGGAAGCAAATATAGAGAGGTCAAACAAAAAGAGGCTGTCGTAGTAGCATATTATGAGAAAAGAAAAGACAAGAATGACAAGCAAATAATTATTAGAACAGATGGAGACGTGTGTATTTTTAAATTTGGCAGTTCCTTGGTTTCAGTAACTTTGCTCTATCGTCTGGGTTTTCAATCAGAAGTTGTGAGCATATTAGAATTGCCATGAATACCTCTCCACATCGACAATATAGTTTCTTTTGTCTACAGAAACAAAGGGAAATTATGATAAATACTAAGCTCATAATAGAGGTAATATGTGCTCTATCAGCCTATTAGTGTTTCTAATGTCCTTAGAATGATAAACTATATGCTCAATCCTATCAATATATCCTCTTGCTAGAAAGTGTTCAAAAAAGGCATCCATCTTCTATCACTTATAATGAATTTTGCATATCACAGACCCTCTAAGAGAATACTTTCTACAGTTTTTGGAGCAATCATGCTCCAGGATCATCATATAGGTTTCCTATGTATCTGGCACATCAAGCTATCTACAACATCAGCCACTCTAACCAACATATTCAGGCACAAAAGAGTCAGTTGTGGTTGTCCCATGCAAATAATTAAATGTACCTTCCAACAAAATGATGAACTCAAACAAGATTAATTCTAATCATGCCCAGAAAGCTAAATGGTTAAAGGATGTGCTAATCAGAAAAAATGACTAAGGTATTGATAAATTTTTTGTTTTAATTTTTATGATATAACCATAATTCTAGAAACCTATAGAGCCTAACAATTATCCTTTCGAAAGAAATTTGCTAAACCTCGAAGCGCTACTTCACCAACGAGGCATTAAAAGTCCAGTCTTCCACTCAAATACAAGTTTGTCTCTCTCTTTTTTTCCTCTCCCTTTGACTTAGTGTTCATCCTTAGGAAAATGCTAAGTGGATTAAAGTACATAAAATCACTTATTTTTATCAGCTTAACCTCAAGGAATCAATTTGAGGCTCTTACTGAGCACCCCAAGCAACAAACTTGGAGGCACAGCAGTTAGCAGCACCAAGCGATCTACAACATCAACCACAGAACCAAAAATACCAAATGGCTTAAAGACCAAAAGGTCCACAACGAGTACCACATTTGACACATCAAATCTAGAATCATGAGCTCCGAAAGGCTCCAATCACGAAACGAAGAAGAAACAACAATGATAGAGTACCCTGGGCGGAGAAGACCGGCCGGTGGAAGGCGGAGAGCAGGTGGAAGAAAAGAAGGGGCAGGACCGCGGTGGCGGCCGAGCGTCGGATCCGCACGACCATCGAGAAGATGGTTCACCGATTTTTCCCAGGGCGACGAACCGAGGAAGGGAAGAGCAGATCGAGGAGAAAGTGGTGGCTACTGATCGGTCGTGGAAGCTGCGTCCCTCGGCTCGTCGCTGTCCGAGATTTGGCTTCCCCGCACCCCCCTTGTTTTCCTCTTGTTCTAGTTTCTAGTTCGGTTTCCTCCCATTTCTAATAGCGTTTCCCTTCGGTAATTTGAATATCTAAAGGAACGCTTCGATTCTAAACCCGCTTGCTTACCTGTTATAGTGTCGAAGCCTGTTGTGGGACCCACATAAAATCACCAATGAAAAGGCAGATAAGACTTAGGGAAGGGCGTTAAGAAAATGTAGATGAGGCATTTTTATTCTAGGACCTCGCCACCGGGGCGATACACGTCAATTCGGCCAATGAGGGGCGCCCACGTAAACCATGGCCCTTACGCTCGGTTTGCTACTGCGGGCTCACAAGCCCGGCCTGCTGTGAACCGCATGAGGCGCATTTGCGAGCCAATGAATAATGATTAGGGTTTATGAGTCTAATAGTATCATGCTACTGTCATGAATGATCTCTATCATTGGGTGCATGAAATTTTATTTTGACAGTATGATATAAAATACTCTCTTAATATGTTTAATTTCAAAGTTCATAATAGGATCAACAAAAGAGAGAGAGACTCCTTGAAATATCACATTTGTTTTATATCTAAATGATATGGTCAAATTTGATTGTAAAAGATATCACAGCCACTCAGTATCACAGCCTCTATAGTTTGATACCAATTCTTAATCAGACTATTATATACCAATAACATGTTATTATGAACTGAACTAAAAAACAAAAACATTTGCCCCATTGTTATGCTGTAACTAATCATGCTTTGAAAACCATCAATATCGAAATCAATGGGAAAAAAATGAATCAATCTATGTATTCCAGCCAGACCTGGTAGAAATAGCATCTGCCTTCTCTGCTACTTCTTCACCTACAGAAATGGCACTTAAAGATATTGATGCTCTGATCCACCAAGTCTTCTTATAATCAAATTGCAGACAAGCTGATTAGCTTAAAGATAAACATTAGATTCAGATCAATATTTATCAAGACTCTAGTACAGAAGGGAATCGAGCTATGGGTAACTCTACTGTGATGTCAAAAATAAAAGATGAAGTGCATTTAAAGTTTAAACTGTTGAACCCAAATGAGATTTAATGGCAGAAAAATAAAATAAAGTTTTTTTGTGTGTGCGCATAGTTCAGGTGAAAGTTACACAACACACCTATTTTTAGCAGGTTAAGTGGTAGTCGAAAAGTAATAACCAGAAGAAGCAAAACAGTTCATAAAAGAAAAAAAAAGCACAATTTTCCTTCCACAACAAATACAAGATTAAGATAACAAGTCCTGCCCCTCACTAATGAATTGACTATCTAGTGGTCAACTCAACAAATGGTTATAGGACATAAACTCCAAAAGACGTGCTTGACATGTATTTGCAATTCAACATGAGGAATCCTCTTAAGTCCTGGCACATAGAGCCACAACGTTACGTATTCATCCGGTATGCGCACCTTTGTACATGGAATCTGCCACTCTTCCACCACTTATCATGGTAATTGCTGCAAATGATCTTTGAAAGTGTCATTTCTTGAGCTCAGATTCTGGAAGAGGAGGACGAGAACCCAAAATGAGCTTATTATCCATGTTAAGTAGGAAAGAAGAGCTACACATCATAGTAAGTGCTGCAATTAATAATTTAACGTGTTATTTCTTGAGCCCAGACTCCAGAAGAGGATGAACACCCAAAATAAGTTTATCGTCCATGTGATAAGTAAAGAAAATGCCAGACAACTCAAGGGTCAGCCACTTTGGGTGGCATCAATCAATACATCTCCAATGCAAGAGAGACAATTGAAGACAACAAATTATATGAATTGAGCTGGTGCTGTTCATACAGATCAAAAGGCTGGAAAATATCAGAGAAGATGTTTCAGCAGAGGACAAAAGGCGAAGATAGATAAAAAGAAAGGGGGATAAAAGTAAGATATCTTCAGGTATAAAACAGAGGTAACAACAAGAGGCAGCCTGATAGAACTAATGTTATTCCATTTTTTTTTTTTCCACCTACAGTCTGCATTAACAGTAACTCTAACCCTCATTCAAATAACTTTAAACAAACACATCATATTTTTTTCAAATGATTATGTCAAGAAAAGATAATATATTTAGGCCATATCCCTATTCATACATGGGACACATAACTAATTCATCTTTCATCAGTAAGTTCGATAGAACACCATCCATATTTACATAGATGGAACTGCAACTGCCCCGAGTTTGAACCTGGAATTTTAACTACCATATGTGTGCAATTGAGTCTTCCATCCAGGTCCATATTTAGGGCATATCACTATTCATACATGAGGCATCCGACTGAATCATCTACAAAGGGTAAATTGGATAGACCACCCTCCATCTTCACAAAGATGGAAGCTGCATGTGCTCTAGTGAATCTGAAATGTTAACCATCAAACATAAGGAAATGATTCTTCCATCTAGATCTACTGCATTTGGTGAACCAATTTCAACTCTCCTACTTCCTCCCTTTCTCAACTTCTGCTCCTAGCACAGAAAGGAAAAGGGATCCTAGGCAAGGATGCAAAGCCAAAATTTAGTCCACCCACCAAAAGGAAACAGTTCCCTAATTTGGCCGTTTGTAATAAACTTGAACAGGAAGATGCTCTGGGCATTAAGCTGTCTAATTGTTCTACCAACATGATACTAACCTGTTTCAAGAATCCATCCTCCCCTTGACACTTTACTCTCCAGGACAAAGATAAAAAGATTTAAAACCTCCAATGCAACATATTTGACAACCAAAACCTACTCTCATGTAGGGCACAACCAAGGTTGTTAAACTTGCTAAAGTGCAATCTTACAGCCCAGATAAGTTGGAATCGATTGTTAAACCTCCTCCCCAGACGACGCACGACTCGTCGCACCGATCATCAAAATGTTGGAATTGGCCTAACTCGCAACTCGACTCGGTAAGATCGATCAACTCGAATCGAGTTTACTAACACAACTTGATGAGCTTCACATAAAAGGGAAAAAAAACAAACACTCTGATGACGTGCGAGGCTATGAACAACATATGAATGATGCGGAGACAAGAGCCCTAGACTGTTGTTGTCACTAGCAACGAGAGGGTGTCGACAACCTTGCCTATTGTTCAAGGTGACATTGATTTTCACTTCCTCCCCCGTAGCCCAAAGGTACTATCAATGTCTCTCCTCTCCTCTCCTCTCTAAATCAAGTTTACTAAGTCAACTCAATGGGCTTAACTAAAAGATTAGAAAAAAACACTCAACGACATACAAGGCTACAAACAACATACAACTAACGAGGAGATGAGAGCCCTAGACTGTTGCTACTGCTAGCAATGATAGGTTGTCTCGTTATTGACAACCTCATTGGTCATTCAAGGTAATGCTGATTGTCACTTCCTCAGCGCAGCTCAAAGGTACTATTCATGTCTCTACTCTTCTCCCCTCCCCATCCTCTCATCCCATCTGCTCACCTTTCTTCTCCTTCCTTTTCTCCCATCTCGTTTCTTCCCCTCCTACCCTCTCTTCCCATCTCCTCTTCTTTCTTCTCTTTCATTTTCTTCTAAGAACAATTTCACCATCCTCTTTGTCCTTCTTAATTTTATTTTTTTCGTGTGATAATTTTTTCAATACTTAATGATATTTAGTATATGCTCGATGATATTTAAAATGATAAGACACCACTTAATATGATCTTTTCAATAAACTTACATTTTATTTTCCTCCGGTTGCTTTCAATTTCTATACCATACTCCCATCCAATACCTGATCAATTTCCAAGAACATTTATTTCCTTAAAGCCATATATTCTAATAAAGTAATTGAAAATGGACAATAAACTGAAAGATATTTTTCTGATGGAAGAAAATATAAATTAATAATTGATGGTTAATAACAGAGTATGCAGTTCAAGTGTTCACATAGTATACAGTTCAAAAAAGATGTTTAGCAAGATGAAATATCTTGGTTTCATAAAAAGACACTTGGATTATTAACAATGAATCATGCAAGAGCTGAGACAAAGAAAAATCCCAAGATGAACAACCGAGTAGACTTTTACAATGGTCCTTTCATGCAACAAAAGAAAAGATAAACATGCCGAACCACTAGAGTATCATACATACAGTAAGAGCACAAACATAAAATGCACTACATTTATGAAGAATAGAAGAGAAGAGGTGAGAAGAGTACGGAACAAAACAGTCGAAAGGAAAGAGAGGAGAGAGGTGAGGAGAAGAGAGAGGAGGGAGAGAAAAGAGAAGGATCGAACAAGAGAGGAGACAAGAAAAGAGATGGGAGAAGAGGGGAGATCTTTTTCCCAAGCATGATTACTATCAAATTGCTTCTTCAACAAGAAAAGGACCACACAAGAAACCTTTTCAGTGTTACACTGAAACAGAATGCCATAAACTGACATTTACGGACCCATAACTGGATCCAAAAAATATAATCAACCTATTGCGCAAACATCATTTCAGTATCATGTATCACATTTGTTGATAATTTTTTCAATGAGAGAACGAGCGAGTACAGTAACAGTTGACTTAATTGAGACACTTAAAGGAGTTATCTTCCTACGGGACTTTCACAAAAGACATAATTTAACATATAGCTTATCCAAACAATTTGGCATAAGAGCTACACTCCAGAAAGCCCTGAAAGGCTCTCTTGAATATCACAATTTGGTCCTTTGTTCCATGTCAGATGGCTCCAAAAAACAATTGGCATTGTAGGACAAAAAAACACTCTCCAACCAAATAAAAGCTATCAATCTCATGCAACAAAAAATTGTTTCTTAACACACATTGTATCGTACAGATGATTCAACTACTACTTGAACAGCTGATCAAACAAAATACTTAAGGCAATTAAGAAGATCACTGGCGTAATCAAAAGGATCAGTGATGATAACTTGCATCTAGCGACAAAAAGAATCCTTCTAGTATCGACAGAAAGATCCAATTCCAACATTCCTTTAAGCTATGAAAAAAGGTCTCAACTTTACAATTCTAACCTTATATAAAAAGGTATTTCTACGACATTACATCATATATCCAATTACCCACACACAATCAAACCGCAGTCACCAATGAACAAAAAAAATGATATTTCCTGCTAAAGCAAGTAGAAATCTTCAAAATGAAATTGGAAATTGATAGAGAAGACTACAGAGATTAGAAAGACTAATAGTAGCAGGAAATCACAAAGCTGTAAACGAGCTCTCACCAAGAATCAGAATATAATGAGCAGCGAGAAAAGCATGTACACGAGCCAACAAGCGTAGGCGATGAGACCACGGTGCTCATCTCCGCACGATGCCAACTCCACCAGAAACCCCGTGCACACTCTCGTTGACCACAGCACAAACACCGCCGCCAACAGAAAGATCACAACGCCGTCGTGGGGCACAAGAAGGGACAGAGCCGAGAAGATCACCATCGGCAGCATACAGTACCCAATCAGGCTCAAGCACAGGTACAGATCCAAGTTCCCGTTGCGTCCCGCGAGCATATTGAAGACCACGTAGAGAAAGAGGGTGGCGACGGTGACCCAACCCAAGATGATCCCGAAGTGGAACTTTCCGGCGAGAAGCTGGAAGAGCCCGAATGCCATGAGGAAGAGGAAGGGTCCGGAGAGGTCGGCGTCCTCGTGGAGACTAGGGCTCACGCGAAAGGGGTTCAGGATCGAGACGGTCTTGCGCCAGATCTGGCGGGTGTTGATGCCGAGCTCCTCGAGGAGGGGCGGCTCGTCCTCGAAGGAGCCGGGGACGGAGGCAGAGGAGAAGACGGGGGCGGAGAAGGAGGAGGAGGCCGGGGCGGATCCGATGTCGAAGGACATGAAGGGGAGGGGAGGGTTGGCGGGGCCGGGGTTCGAGGGGCGAGGCGGCTGGAAGGGCTGCGGGGCCGTCCCCGGCGCGCGACGCTGGTGGGGGACGTTGGGATTCCCGGCCGACGAGGGGAAGACCACCGGCGGAACGGAGAACTCCTTGGCCATCACGGCGATCCGAGTCGAGATGCTGAGTCAGGACTCGGTAAGCACGGCGAGTTGGGTTGTGCCTCGCAGAGTGTCAATATGGCATTTATATGGCTAAAACGAGTTTGCGTGTTACTTCAACTTCAACACGTCCTTAAACTATAATTGTTTTCAGCCATTAAATATATATATATATATATATATATATATAATTAAAATTAATTTTGAAAGTACGAACTCTCTTGAAAAGTCCTTTTTTTTTGTGAATTGTTTTGGAGGTATTTTTTTCATATTTTTTGAAAGATATATCTCATTAATTATAAATCTTAAAATATCCTATGATAAAACAACTATTATACTACGCTAGATTGGATGCATAGGGTGTATTAGTCCCAATTCTTTTTTTAAAAAAATATTATATTATTTTAAGAGAAATATCAAAAAATATTATAACTTATTTTAAAAAAAATGTAATAACTAATATAGAAGTTTCCCAAATCGATTGTTCCTATTTATAAATATTTGTCGGTCATTAATACAAGATGAATAGTCCATATTAGTAAGTGCTCCCTTAGTGTTAGAAAGGAATCTATATCCACTATTAAAAGTTCCATATGACTATCGGAAGAATCGATAGCCATCCATACTTTTGGTGATCTTGGCACCGGTGGGATCCTTCTTCTCGACGCCCTTGATCACTCCCACGGCCACAGTCTGGCTCATGTCCCTCACAGCAAACCGTCCAAGGGGTGGATTGGGCTTCGTGGGAATCATCTTCACAAAGCCAGCATCACCTTTCTTCAGGAACTTCGGCTCCTTCTCAAGCTCCTTTCCGGATCGCCTGTCGATCTTGGTGAGGAGCTCAGCAAACTCGACCGCTATGTGGGAGGTGTGGCAAACTTGACCGGGGCGTAGCCATTGCCAATCTGACCAGGGTGATTCATGACGATGACCTGAGAAGTGAAGCTGGCAGCCTCCTTAGCTGGATCTTCCTTGGAATTGGATGCAACAAAGCCTCTCTTGAGATCCTTGACGGCGACGTTCTTCACGTTGAAACCAACATTGTCACCAGGGAATATCAATGGTAATTCCTCTTTCACGCTCAGCTTTAAGCTTGTCAAGCACCCAAGCATACTTGAATGATCTCTTGTTCATCTCCGCGGCCTCCTTTTCGAACCTCTCAATTACACGCTTGTCAATGCCACCCAACTTGTAAATGAGATGGCCAGTGGTGGTTGACTTCCCAGAGTCGACATGACCAATTACCACAATATTGATATGAACCTTCTCTTTCCCCATGACGACCACAAGCGAGTATTAACTGCAGAAAGTGAAGTGAAATGCCAATCAAAAAGAAGAAAAACATAGCATTCCATACAATCTATAACGATAAGGAGAAGTGACTTTTGTCATGCAAATAGGAAAAAGGTGCACCATGGAACGTTGTGAACTAAATGGCAAGTAGAAGTTCCTAACCAAAGTACAAAAAAGTTGGCACCAGCCATATATATCTTCTTGAAATGATGACATCATAGGACATAAAACTGTTTCAACTTAATTGGGTAAGAAGCTTATTAGTCAACAACTACACCTGCAGCACAAACTGGAAATTGTGCAGCTAAGCCAAAACCTATGCTGATACCTTGACTCTTGAGGGCTTCTACAAGATCATCTTTTGCTTACATTTACAGCTAAAGTTGTATAGGGTTTTAAAAAAAAATGCAAATTCTGTATTGGATAAAACTACAAGACAGTTGACTTTGCATAACACACAACAGAGTCAGTAGCATTTTAATGTGTTCTTAAGCAGAATTAGTATATCAATCAGAATAAGTATGTTACAATCTCAAAGTGGAAAAAGGAATAACAGTTTCTAGCAAGTATTAGACATTTATAGTTCAAGTCACATTAACCAGAATTTGAGCACCAACAGTTGCTACACCAAACCCATAAATAATGGAAAATTTACTATGTAAAAGTCAATAAGCATAACCAGATGACATGAATGAAACTGCAAGAAGCAACAGTTTAGAAGTTGTCCCTGTGAGAACCTTAAGCTTAAATAAAGACTAAGATGAAACATACGAGATAAATATGTAACTAGCCTTATCAATAATACACAACCAAAATTGATCACACTATCATGAACTCCAAACCTTGAAAAAGTAGCAAAATTATTCACCTAGATATCCAACTTGAACCAAAGAGATACCCTATTTCCAATCCCATTACATCAATAATAAAAAAAAACTCCACATCGTCCAATAGAATTTGCCTCGATAGCATCAAAAAAGGGAACTTTTTCTGATTATTACTGAAACTATTTGTTCCACACTGGATGGTTCGCATCTCTGTCGCTGACTCTGAGACTAGAATCTGGGAACGATATGAACTGCATATCGTCCACCAGAATCCGCTCGATAGCATAAAAAAGGGATCTTCATTTCATGCTTATTGCTACTGTCTCATCTAATTCACCTCTACCCTCCTCAAAGCTTGATTCTTTAACAGAAACATATGGATCGTACTGGATGAGATCCAGGAACTAAACAACGCACAAAAGAAACACAATATACTAGCAATTCAGACATGAACATATGGATGCAGTCCCTCAATCACAGATTCAAGAATTCAATGCAGAAAAGCATAAGCAAAAACAGCAGGCAATGAGACAAATTTCACCTTCGGCAACAGGGAAGGAAGGATCGGGCCAACTCTTAAGACAAGAAGCGTTTCTCACGCGAGGCTTTTATGGAGTCGCACGGGTCCGAGGAATGCCTAGGTTTTCTTCCTTAGCCATCCGATACTCCCATCGAACGGTCCTTGAGTGGACCATTCTTAGCCGTCAATTCTGATCGCACGTCGTTTTTCCGATCTGACGGCTAGTAGGCGTCTTCTCCGAAACCCTGGGCGGAAGGCACGGTGGTATTGCGTGTTTGATGAAGCCACGAGAACCGTACGATTCTGACAATCGACGGCTGACGAGTGGCGGCTGATGAATGTTCGTATAAGGATACAAGATTAACGTGCTAGATGGATCCCAAATCATGATATCCACCACCACTTGTCCACATCAGGCTAGTTGGATGTCAAGCTCGTACTTGGCGTTGACTTCTAATGTGGACCGTTATTAATACCCACCACTTCTTGTCCATATCATGCGTGTCGGAACAAAGCCGTCAAAATATATCAAGGTTGACCCCCTCGGATCCCGATTCATAATATTCACCACTTCTTATTTACATCATGCATGTGGGTTGTTAGGCTTGTGCTTCGCGTTGACTTGTACAAGGAGAAAGATCTCAATTGGGTCTCAATCAAAACATCTGCAAATAATTCTTGGTTGTTAAACGAGTGATGCAATCAAAAGATCTCGATTGGGTCTCAATCAATGCTGCTTCTCCCATTTCATATCCAAATAAGTTTTTGACTGTCAAAGAACCTATAAAATCAATTCAAGTTACATCCAACTAGAATCCACAAAGATGGGAAAAAATTTTGGTCAGACCAAGCTGCAATGCAATCACAAAGACAAAGAAGCAAAATATCTCTCCTCCATCTTCGCAGAACATCATGAAACTTTTTAGTTCTCATCAGTGGACGACCATAAAAAAGATGATTCAGATAATGCTGAATGTCCATAACTCAGATTCCTTGTGTCTCTAAGTTGAGAGCAGGACTAGTTTTCAGCCATTTCTTTCACCGCTCTGTGTCCTTGAGGTTTTTGCTCGGCCCATATGTTCATTCTGCAGGAACAATATTTTCCTAATCAATATCCATGACAGGTGAATTCCAGCGTGATAACTTTCCCAGTTACATGTTACCTGTCCACCCAGACAAGGAACGGGATTTCTCGGTAAGGTCAGAACTTCTATCGATCAAAACCATTGCTCCGTTGTTAGGAATATTTGTCATACGCTTTGGACGCAGATGACCACCTTGCTCATTCGCACTTGGAATCCACACCATTAAGCTTGACCGGCAACTTCTTTTGCTATTTCAGAAACCTTGAACGGGACCACGGGACCATCTTTTGAGGGGCAGAAATCCTCAAGTAGTGATGGGGCATAATTTTGGCTGTGCTTCAGATAAACCAGTAAAGTCATTCTATTCGGCAAGCTTCGGTAGTTTTTCAAGAGATTGGGATCTGTGCTTCCGGTTACGAGTAAGAGCAGCAGAATGAGTTTGTGAAGAACCAGAATTGAGGGCTCTGTTTCGAGTCCCAGGTGTAGTATGCTGAATTGTATCGTGTTTTAGTTTATTCACTGAATCAGTCTTGGAGGCTCCGGTGGTGGCTTTCAGAAAACTGGGCTGCTTGCTAGTCTGTGTGGTTAATGGTTTCTTCTGCAAATCCAAAAATAAACTCCAAGTTACACACAGATAGAAGAAATGAAAAGAACACTATGGTTAGGCACATATACCACTGGAGATCTGCAGCATTTTGTTGCAGAGTTATTGTTAGTGGAGCTTCTTGGATGATCCCCTCTGGATGGCTTAGATGTTACTTCATCATCTGGAGTATTTTTCGTAGCATGCAGTTTGGAAGACTGATCCCCATGATCTTCAGATCTGAGGCATGAACTGCAACCTGCCGAATGAACTCTATCATTGTCAGCACTTTCCAATGACAAGGATGGAGAACCGGTTTCAATGCTATTGATTGCTGATTTCACAGCAAAGCGCGTTGATGAAAATGATCCCGAAGCAGCACTGTCAAAAGAGCTACTTGGTGTACTTGAAGTTAACTTCACAGCAGAATTTGAAGATACTGTAGAATTACTTGCACTTCTACCGACAGTTTTAGTTCTGCTTGTCCTCATAGATGCTATATTAGTGATTGATCCAGATGAGGAGCGATTGGTAGCTCTAGATGTACTACTCATCCTTGTTATGTCCGAAGGAGATTTAAGATTTCTGTCCACTGAATTTCTGACCAAAGTCGAAGTCGTTTTTGATGGTTGGGAGGACTTAGAATTGCCACTGGAAGAACCTTCATTCATTTTCTTGGAAACCACAACAGATTTTGGCATTACCACATTGCCTGCCAAAGCCACACTTAAATAAGAACAAAATTCTAAAGCAGAATATATATTATATCCAATTGCATTGGTTAGAGATGCCTGAAGATTTTTCTTAATTATACCTGGCTTTTCTTTTGTATTACTGGTTCTTATTTGGGTTTTTGCAGGAACCAAACTTGTCTTGGCTGGCACCATCTGTACAGTTGCTCTGGACAAAACTCTTGTTGGCTTTGACACTGTCCTCGAACTAGTAATTCCACCAACAGCCTTAAAGTGTGAAATGTGAACTTGAGTCAACAAATATTTCAATTTATTTGTAATAATTAAAATATTAGTCTCATTTTGTGAAGGAAAATTTTAGAGCCAAAGCAATTAGTATATAATATGCACATACCACATCTGTAACAACAGTGGCCCCTCTAGAATCATGCTTACGGAGATGGTTGCTAACACCGTGTCTCTCCGATGTCACGGGAGACTTCTTCTGAGGTAACACAAGCTATCAAAAATTTGTGTATCAATGCTATAAAATAGTGAGGTGATTATTAAAAAGATATACCTTATTGTGACGAGATGGTTCAGACTTCACCGGTGCTGCAAAACATTATGAATATACTTAGAATAATTGCAATAATACAAGCAACACTGAAATTATACTCTGATTAAAATTTCCTATGCAAACTTCAAATAGATACAGGACTTAAAAGCAAGTGTTTCAGACTTTTAACAGGTTTAACATTCTTACATTTATTGGGCAGTGCCCTTCCCTTCGCTGGATTAATTTTCTTGCTGGGATGTGCCAATTTCAAAGCTTTTTCACCAGTACCAGGAGTCTTTTGATTGGAAGCTTGTACATTTTTAAACAAATCTACCTCAAGCTTTTCCAAAGCCCATCTATCATTATCTAAATATGAGTTTAATTCTGTTGTTTTTTTTGCTTCTTCTGTAATTATAGGAAGTGAACATGCTTCACTCTTCTTGAATGTGCTGTTTATGATGGCCAATTCTTCATTATTCAGAACACCTGTGAACAAGAAATAAGATCCACTAACCTTATAAATCTTGGTTCAATCTATGTTAGTTTTGGAATCACAGAGTCCATACCTTCACTTGTAAGAAAATCTCTATCCCAATCTAAACTGTTCCGCAAGTAATGTTTGTTGGTCTTTGATTGTTTTTGCTCCGAGGATTCTACTGGCTGGAGAGCTTGTTTCATTTGCTTGCTCATTTTCTCTTGACTCTTGCCATACTCAGAACCAGCAATCACTATTTGAAAACAATTCTTCTCAATGTGGTTCCCCAAAAGGCACATAAAAATAAAGAACTAAAGCAAAGACTGAAGAATCACGTATTCATGCTGACAGGTAACAAGTTAGCTACTGAAGAAATCTCTAGATCACACATCTATAATTGTGTTTACAAAACCGATCAAATTCCACTGGAAGCAGGTAAAATCATAAACATGTTACACGGGACTGTGCAGAAAATAATGTTAGTCATAAAAAATGAAGGACACAGATGTAGGAGCTTGTGTTAAGAACAAAGGTCATTCCAAACTAGAGTTTTGAAACAATCTTTATATCTGTATACTTGTGGTTGGGCTCATGTAACTCTCAAGGATTCAGATTCTGGTGACCATTACCACCAATCACCACAATTGATCAAAACTTTAACTGGGACAAAATGTCACATTTAATGGATTAATGTGTAGTTAACCTTCGAATTTATGCGTTGCATGCTTATATAATGTAATGCATTCTCTTGAGTAAAATAAGATAAACTAAACATTTTGCGTAAGGATAGACCAAACCTTCTGATCACAGAAAAGATATTTCTGGTCCATGTGTAGAACATTAAAAGATAAACAGAGCAAAATGCTACCACCATAAAATTAAAATTACGCAAGTGGGTCCTGGCATCACAATAAGGTTGCTGTCTATGTCATGGGTCACCAGAATTCAGTTCATGGAAATAACCTCTCTACTTGATTCTCACCAATTCCCACTTCCACAAAATCCTCAGACATTGGGCAGCCTTTTTTATATTAAATTGAATTCATCAACCTATTTAATTCTACCTATCATAAATGAGGCAGTTATCTACGTCATGAGACACTAGGATTTGATCAAATTCAAGTTTATAGGTCATAAATATGGATTGTCAACCTATTTAATGTCATCGTTGAAAAAATCCTCCTACATTGGGCTATCATTCTCACATTAAATTCAAGTCTGTAGGTCATAAATGTGGATTATCGAAGCTATGCCGTATCATTTTCACATTCATCCAAAAGGAAGGGGGATCCAACAAAGGTAGACAAAGAGAGATCAGAGTTATTGCCTATCCTTCATTCTTGCCTAATTCAGAATGAGACGTCAACCAACAGTCTCGTATTGCCACATATTCTAAAAATTCATCTCACGGATTAAACGCATTCGAAACTCTAAAAGATTGTTCTCGTATTGCATTCAACAAAAAGCAATCCAGAACGACCAAGCAAACCCTACCACATTCAATCTAAAGAATTCCAAGTCTTGTAGGACCGCATTTTGGAAAGAACAGAAGCAATGACAGAACCATGACGAGAGCGATGACTACCTGACGTGCTTTGGTGGACGGAGACATCGCAAGAGGAGGACGAGGAGACGCGATCGTCCTCCGACGGGACGTCGATGAGAGGGAACCTTTCCATGGTTGTCGAGAAACCTAATTCATGGTTGTTCGCGAGAGGAGACGATATGGGGAGGAAATAGAAAACAAGAAGACGAGCCTAATTTAAGGCTACGGTGAAACAAGACGCGTATATGGCCGATGTCTGCTTTAATTAGGAGGTGATTTTTAATAATATCGTACTTTCCCTTACAAATTCCAATATATTTTCGTAATAATAATTCGGAGTTATTTAATAAGAAATCAGTTTGCATAAGCTTAAAATGACCATTGTGTATATGCTTACGTGTGATGGATAAAACCTTCGTCACCACACCGAACAAACTCTTAATTGTGACTTTGAGCTAACAGACGCCCCTTTCAACTATCATCTTCAACACTTAATCATTTATATGAAGATGTTAGTTGATTTAATTGGTAAAGATGAGTATGTGAAAGATTCAAATTGGATTTGTGTACTAAATAGAAAGATAATCTATTTATAAAGTATTAGCATTACAATTTCAGATGACAGTCAAATGATACTCGATGAACCTTTTAATTTCCAAGCATATATTTAGGCTTTTAGATTTGAAGGGGGCATGCGAAATTTATATGCATAGGAATAAGTACAGAAATCCCTAAATGATTTTCATGTTTATCCCCCTAAATTTATATTTAACATATAATATGTTACTTTAGCAAATATATCTTGTATCTTCAAATATTATAACATTTAGTGTACTCCCATTAATAATCATCGAAAATAACAAAGGTATTGTCAATGTTTTTATTATCGTGTACTCAATGAGTTTTGTATTAGTTGAAATTAACAATTCATATAAAATATAAAAATTCTAAATATCATTGTCGTCATATAATCGAGCAATAAGCTTATAAAAGATAATAATAACAACAATACCCGTTCTTAAAGGAACAAACGACCTGCTAATTTATGGGGCTCGTCACCCATCGCATCTTCCGAACCAACGAAATTAACTGTTACAAACCACTACTTTACATACAGCCAAGGGTATATAATATTGCAAAAGAGATAAGTCTTACCGCCGTGCATACATAGATGCCTACGGGCACATACATATTATAATGGTTACCACAACAAACACATTATATGAAAGTATTTCTTACGAGTATCACATGGAAAATATCTCCGAGTACAGAAAGATCAAGCATAGCTAAGATGAAGAAGTTAGCGTCACTTCAATCAAATATTATCTATCGGTAAACAAGATCGTTAATTTCACCATCTCTGAAACATAAGTTTCGTGATGGCACTTTTGTAAATATAATTACAATAGATCCACACTAACCTACCAATCCATGGCACAAACCAATATTTGAAATAAAGACCTTTGACTGACACTGTCGCCATAAAACTTTAAAATAGATAGGCGAGACTTTTAAGATGTAGTACATCCAATACAGAGCTCGAGTTAAAAGTACTCGGCATTGGATGCCATGTACAGGCAGTCATGAAGAACAGAAATTAGTAATGATGAATAGGCAAAGCATGCTGCAACGTTCGAGTTAGCTGCAGAATTCATCATCACACATTCAAACAGATACCATAACTACTTTGGCTTGATGATAGTGGAGATGATTGCAGTACACTTACGGTTATGTCTAAGTAACAGTCTGACAAATAACTAAATATTAATCTCGACAAAAGATAGCATACAACCATCAGATCTTAATCCTAGGATATTTGTGATGATTCTACTCCGCAGATAACATCTCAAAACCTGTGCAAAATGGCTTGCTGAATCTGAACATTCACTCTTTCAAATCTGAAAAGCAAAAAAGCCACAATGATGATTTAGATTGTGCCATTGAATTGCTTGTTTAAAGTTCCACGGACACTTGAACGCATACCCCAGTTCTGAGAGCCTCAGGTGAGCTTCAGCATAATCAGCAAAGAAAGCATCCTCATCCTGAGGGCATGAAAGCCAGGATTAAAATGGAGAAGAAATCACCACCACCATTCTTGGCATAACAGACAATATAGTCATACAATCAATGATGGACAAGAATACATACAGCAGCATATTTTTCTACAAGAGGGCGGAATACAGGATCATTCAGAAGGGCCTTGTCAGAAGGCAGCTGGATAAGGTCTTCTTTCTCTCCACTCAGGAGTTCCCTGACAGAAAAACAAAATCTATCATTCCACACCATTGTGAAGAGAATTATTAAAAAGCATATGGATCAGACAAATTTTAATGTTTCGTGCAATTATGGAACCAAAACAGATAACTGGCAAACTTTAGAGGATTGGTCCGTGCAAACTTACTTGAAGTATGAGTTGTCAAAAATTAGAGGATTGGAAGTTCAAGCTCCTTCAAAGCCTGATCGCTCCTTATGGCACCTTCCCTGTTGCAAGAAAGCAAAACATGTAAAAAGGAGAGAAGATAACAAATAGTAGTAAACAATTTGGCAAGCCATGCATAGAGCATAACTAGAAAATTACCAGTGTGTGACCACCAGAGAGTGCAACAATATCCTGATCACTTAGACCCATGTGACCAAACACATCCCTGAGGTGATCAGAGCCTAAAGGATTTAGAAAGAAAAACAAGTCACAAGTTGATCAGGTTTGTGTTACAACAAATTACTTTGCTTTTATGATGTAAGGACAACTTAAGAACAATCAATAGAATATACACCACAATATACACCATTGGACAGCTTTGGGAATATGGAACACTTGAAATGCAACCAAAGAACCTTCCTGTTATCCAATTACAGTTTATATATGTTTGCAACACCTACTACCATTACACAAACATACTGATCCTCGGATTATATGAGTATGTCACAGATACAGAATGATTATTGGCAGCAACTAAGAATTATACTACTAGTAGTCAAATCTAACACAAGCATCTGTATACTAAATGCCGAAAATTTGAAACTCCAAAAGATTATATAATCATTGAGATGCTATATAAACAGCCATACCCTTGGAAGCATCAGGAAGGCGGCCTTCTACAGGAGGTTCAGGTTAGCCCTAGACAAACAGAAAACAGAATGTCAATATATCAGCGCCAACAATCATGGCCATAAATTGGTTCAAGGACTTAGCAATCGATACTAGGATTCATAAATAATCAACCTAACAATAGTAAAATGATTTGACCACAAATCAACATTATTTCTTGATATCTGAGATTTTTTGAACCAAATAATTAACATACAAATCAATGTCAAACTACATTAGAACATCTCGATAGAAAGCAAAACTTATGTCTAGTTTCTATTACATAAGACACAAGTCTAACTTGATGAATAAAATCATAATATGAACATAACAATAAATTTTCTTGCATCAAGTTTCACACTGTGCTTGCATGCAGGTAAAACCAAGATCAACCTGGGTACAAGGCTATGGCAGTAAAGATAGAAACACTCCAATTATCTTGCATAGCTGAGTCCAAACAACAATGCAGAAGCCTAATTAGTGAATGTAAAAAATGATCATCAGTTAAATTTATTGTTCTTCCTAATGTGAACGGGATATGGTTCTTCCTAATGTGAAGAGCAAAATAAATGGACTTTTAACAAACTGCAAATGTGAATATCATCCCATTATGTTGTTTAGAGATTTTTTGAAGACATTTGGTTGATTGCAACTGCAAATGCCTACAAACAACAGTTGGAAGAAAAAGCAAATGCTACAAATAGTAGTTGAAATTTCATGTGCTTGAATTTTCTACATGTGTGGTTGCCACTTGGAAAAGAAACTGATATAGAGGAGATAACAACTAATACTTGGCACTACGGAACACAATATAGGAGCAATGTGTTACGAGGAAACGTGTGAGAGGAGGGAGAGTGCACCAAATCCAAATTTGACATGCAACCCCATCCAAAAATCTAGCATGCGATATTTCATTTCACAAGTTTATTTCCAACATATGAGGTTCTAATTGCATGTACGCATGCCCTAAGCAACCTAATTGCAAGCAACCAAACATTTGCAAATGAAAAGCGGCAATGGTTCATCAACTCTCCTTTGCTGCTTCTTGGAAGGAAAGAAGAGATTCAAAAACAACGTTCGCAAATATGATTAAACAATGGTTATCAAATTTTCCCAAAAGCACAAGTAGCGACCGACATGGATTTATACTGAATACTATCTAATAATGTATGTGCCCCATTCAAAACAACCCCCCATAAACCCTTATCATTTAGTAATCAATGGCATCACAATTACCCGACATTGTTGGGGTTC